AATCCACCGAAAGTGATGTGTCAAAAACAAAAATGAAATTTAATTCAGATAAAATCAAGAAAAATGTACGTTAATAGTGAGTACGCCCACCCCTGGCTCTAAGAAGTTCGGCACAACGACAAGGCATTCTTTCCACCAAATTTCTAATTATTTATTTAAATCGTCAAAAGATCATCTACAACTTGGTTCAGATTTTGGAAGGGTTGATGATCCTTCAGACGTCTTTCCAGTTCATCTCAGAGGTGCTAAAAAGGATTCAAATCCGGACTATTAGCTGGCCATCTCATGACATCAATATTGTGCTCCTGTAGGAAATTTCTCACGACTCTGGCTACGTGTGACCTGGCATTATCTTGTTGTAAAATGAACCCAGCGCCCATATTTTGGACAAATGAGACGATATGAGGTTCCAATATCCCCTCTATGTAACTAACTAAAGTCCCATAACATGAATTTTTTTCATCTGTTCTGAATTCCAATTACGATGCTCTTCACAAAAGTTTCTACGATTTCCTCGATGAGCTGGAGTTAATCTAGGGGATCTAACAGAACCTGCATGGTGTTGTACTTCGTTAAGTCGGTTTCGTATCGTTCGGTTCGAAATTTGCGTTTCCGTATCTTCTATAAGGCGATTTTGCAGTGTTCTAGCAGAATCGCTGCGACCCCTAATTGCCCAGAGTCGTAACAAACGATCTTCTCTGCGGGTTGTTGCCCTTTGTCGATTGGGATAAGGGGCTTTTTTTACTATGCCGTAAATTTGGAAGCTATTCTGGAAACCGCAGAATGACTCACAGTAAGCATTTGGGATACACGACGCCTTGAATACCCTACTTCGATCAATGCCACTGCCCTAGCAACTTGAAATTCGTTGAGGTATATCCTACGTATCCTCCTTCTACCCAATACATCAACATTCATTGTTTTAATTTTAAAATTCAAAAATGTATTGTCCTTCTGGAGAATAAAGAATTATTATTATTATTATTAAATGATAGAATTTACTTTGAAGAATAATATGAATCACTCTGAACCAAATATGGCAGACAGCCATATTATGGGCAACAAAAACAACATGATATCACTCAATGAGGTCGTGAGGTCGATAGCCAGGGAGGAAGGGCGGTAGCCAGGCCAGGTATGATATGAAAATTTGTCGCAAGATCAATTTGTGCAGAAGAATAAGTATACAATGAGGGTTAAATTTGATTCGAAGCTGATGTTTTTTTTTCAGAGAATGAAATCATTCAAGGATTAGGAAAAATAATCTGACTCTTTCGAAAAAAACATCAATATCATTCAACCGATGTTTGAGAGAAGATGTGTTTCATGCATAATCATTATGTCATTGATTACTCACCTTGTAAATGAATATTAAGGCAACCAATGTCGCGAAGTTTTCTTCTGTGAATCTCGTTATATAACACACGAAAGCGCTAGCATCAATAGCAACCAAAATAAGAAGAATTACGGCAATCCAGGTACCAATCCAGAACCTGAAGGATAGATAGTCCCAGTCCATAGTATGGCAGAAATCGTAGACGATGGTTTCGAATACGAGAACTGGACCCGTAGATCCTAAAATAGTTAGCGGTTGTCCGGAGAAGAAACCATAAAAAATACCACAGATGCACCCAGATACAAGTGATTCCATGGCAGCCATATGACGTCCAGTCGCTTCAGAAAGTAATCCACCGAAAGTGATGATTGGCGAAAGACAAGCAAAATAAAGAAATATCCACGAAGCTACGGATTGCAAGGCTAAAGCGTCTCTAAAGTCGGACCAATACCATGGAGCTTTACGTTTCAAATCATTTTTCAAACCTCCAAAGAGAATCTAGAAACAGAAATATGTCGATCAGATTTATTCACAAGATTCGATAATTCTCACCCCTGTTCTAGCCAGACCAGTTTCCTCCCTTAATTTCTCTATTTCCTCTATTTCGTCAATGATTCCATTATGTTCCTCAGGAGGTCGTTTTCGAAATTCTTGGGAAGGAATGTTTGCTGGTGGTTCTATTCGTATGGCAGGATCCCATTCTCCGGGTGGGAGGACAATGACTGCACTCAAAAATTCATCCAATCCCATTAATAAATGATCTTTTTCATGCGCGCCATATGCCACTTCGCTAAAGACATCGTCTGACATGAGAGTTGCCATTGCTCGTCCAATTTCATCATACCCTAAGTGTTATAGTCATAATAACTTTTCGAAGAAATTACTGATTCGATTCTAACCTGCAGTTGCAGAATACGGTCCAATGAGTATGAACAAAAATCTTGTTGGTAAAGGAACCTCTGTGAGATTGTCCAGTATGACTCCTGTATTGAGTCTGATGAACGCTGATATCGGTTTGTCAAGGAAGTTCACCTCCCCTACTAAAATATTGGTCGCCTCCGCTCCTGGTGGAATTTTTCGCATGAACGACATATTGCTTTTATATTTTCTTTGGTTGTTTTTCCGTTGATTATTATCCCCGTGGTTTCTAAAACCTGTAATACATGTTTGAGTGAAAGTTCAGTTTCTCTGAAGGGCACTAATCAGATAGACATTGAAGTTCAAAAATTGAATATAATGGTATAGTGTGTGTCATTTAAGTAATAAAAATTTCAATTCCATCAAAACAAGGTGAGTAAAATATATTGAATCCAATCA